TTCTTCTTTCACGGTTCAGTTCCTACAGACTCATGCTGCTCCGCGACGTACACAAACATAGAGGAAACACAGTTTTTTCTTATTTACGCCCGAGAGGAAGTAGATTGACATTTCATAAAAGCATACAAGAAATGCAGGTTTCCTATTAAGTCATAGAAAAACTGAGGCTGCTTGTCTATGAAAATGTGGAGGCAATGAAGCTGAGAAATATTCAACAATAAATAGAGGACTTCCTACCAAAATACAGTAGGACCTCTCAACTGAAGAGCTTTCCCATTCATGTGCCATTTAAGGCCACTCCGAATACGCTTCACGTTTTCGCGACACAGAACGCTGTATGAACCCAAAGACTGCATTGCGCTGGCAAACCATGGTTTTCAAATTGCGCGGCAGCCGACAAAGGTTTAGACCGACAGACCATAAGCCGAAAAACCGTTTCCACCAAGAACCGACACAGCAAGAGCTTGCGCAGGGCAAAGAACCTGGCGCTCCGGGGCAGTCTTGCCGGGCGGTTTGAGGTTTAGGGCCGAGGGCTTAGCGTTTAGTGCCTTCTGGCTCCGCTGGTCGGAATTTCGGTTTGTCGATTTATCGGTTCTCGGCCTGCTGCGCGGTCTGGACCAAGAAAGCAGTGAAACAGCGCACCAGGCTGCGGCACGATTTCGAGTACAGAATGTGCACTTGAATGACGCGGCAAGCTATTTGCTTTTTTTCCGGACACATCTTCACGTTTCCAGGCTCAGAAATGCGCGTTGCACCTACTCGGGCGGAAACGTGGGGGGGGGGGGGGGGGGCATCCTTCGCGATTTGAATGCGCACGGGAAACATACAGAGTCATCGATCTAGGCTAGCACCCCTTGAAAAAACCAAAAGTCCAAAACCAACAAAAAAACCAAATCAATTTTTGACAGCCCACCCCCACCTGACCTTGCTGATTCTGCGGATGGCAGCCCCCAAGATGTTAGTTCAACTCTACGTCACCTGGCAAAGCTTGTCGAAGCTCGGCATTCGCTCAGCAGCAACGGCTAGGCCGCTAGGCAGGTCGACCAAGCCAACGCCACTTCCTCAAGTCCAAGGGGTCCAAGCTCGACAGTCCTCAGGGGGGTCCCGACAAGGCTCAGATCTAAATGAGGACCTCCGAAACGGTCGGGGGATACAACGCTTTTGAACCCTGGAATCCCGGAGAGCCCAAAACCCTCAAACCCTAACCACCTACATAAAGGCCTCAATCCGCAACTCAGGATGGGGATGTCGGCACTGGCACCAAGGCGCTCACCATGGGGTGGCCCCCAGGTTTCGGGCAGCATTTTCTTTAGACCGAGACCTGGAGGGGCAAGTCCCAGATTAGCTTCCAAGCCCCAAGCACCAAAAGCCTGCCATGCAAGTTGAAGACACCATCTTGCTGCAGAATGTTCACGCTGGAACCGTTTGGGGGGTTTTCCAGCTAGCTTTGCTAAAGACTACAACGGTCTCACTTCAAGATAGGGATCGACACTGCAGGTCTTCATCCATGAAGCTTGCTGGTGCAACAGCAGACCCTGCACCAAAGCATTCTCATACTCTATTCTTCAACTCACAAGCACCCACTCCCTGCCCAAAGAGATTTGATCATTTGACCAATCCGCCCGACAAGCCAAAGACGAGAACATGTATATGGCCTTAGCCAAAGTCCTTGCCCTCAATTTCTAAGCCCTCGAATTTCTCTCGAGCCCTCCCAAACCCTCAAAAACTCTGAGTCCATTGACGTTGGGTTAGAGCTTACGGTGGGAAGGGTTTCTTTAGGCACCGGTCTTAGCGGTCTTGTGGGCCCAAACCTCAAAAAGGCGCAACGCGGACCAGTCACCTCAGCACCCTCCTGCGTCCTAAGGCAAGCCCAAATCCTGAAAGCGTTAAATCCCTAAACCTGGAAGGCGGAGGATTCCGCGGTGTTACTCTGCCCATCTTTCTGCAAGCGATGGCCGGCCTGCAGGGTTTCGGGTGTAGGCTTTAGGGCTCGGGGTTTCTGCGCTAGGGGCTTTGGGTGGAAGTTTTCCGGGCTAAGCTCTGTGCCTTTGGGGGTGAGGCGGAAGGTTGCGGGAGAGTGGGGTAAGGGATTCAGATGAGAGGGTGCGGGTGCTGTGGTTGTGGTTTTGGGCGTGCCACATTGTTGTCTGTCGAATCGACAAGAATCGCCGAACCGAATTTGGGACAGGATTCCGTAGCCAACATTTGCAAAAGCCTGAATCCTGCACTTGAAAAACAACTTCTTCAGGTTCCAGTCCTGCGTCGATGACTTCTTCGCTCCTGGAACAGCCGGTGCGGCCTAACTGGCGTGTTCGAGCCCTCTGGAAGTCGGAATGCCCAAACAATCCAAATCAAAACTGAACTGCAAACTATTCAGCGGTCGTGATCTAAGCCCAACAAGCTTTTGTTCACCCCTCGCAGACAGATTTTCGAGGGAGAAAGTGACAGTCAAACTGTACAGGTGCCCTGGTCGCTTGTGGCACAGGCCTTCGTTAGCAGAAGGAATATTGCGGCAGGAATACAAGTGCAGCGCAACAGGGCACCAGCTTCTCAAATGGCATTATGACCAACTCTGAGCTGATTCTCCTCAGCTGCAGCCCCTAAAGACCTGCTACCTCGGCCAGGGCTCCGTGGCCCCTTGCCACTTAGCTGCCACGGATTTTGGAGTTGGATCTTTTATTGTGACGAAGTCGCTCGCTAGTCTTTTTCCTCGAATTCCCAGCTGCTTTCCTTCTCCGAGAGGCATGCCAAACTCGCTCATTTGCAGCCCCCTCAGGGAGATCACAGAGGAGCCGTTGGCTTTGATTTCTTGTGCATTCGTGCAAGGGTGCTACAGTTGAACTAAGGAAAAACATTCTTGCACTAGCTGGGGCCTCCTGCAAGCCCCACCAAACGACTGCAACAACTTCTGGAACTAAAAGTTGCAATTTGTCTTTACAAGTTGGGTGGTGGTTTACAGGAGGTTCAACGTACATGTAAAATGACGATGCAGAGGGTTTATGGAATGTAGGCTACAGCCTTGGTGCTTAATTCTGGCACGGCCCGTCAGTGTTGTCAAGTTCTTGTTTGTGCCCATACAAATCGGACATCTGATTTTGGACAGCTTTCGTTCAGAAGTTGCGTTGCGACTTCGCTAGCGAACCGAGGGTCCCCCCATCATGCCTGAAGCCTTACCCCTTTTGTTGGATGTGCAGCGTGGGTGCACTCCTTTTGCATAGACTCCACAGTGAGGGTGGCTGAGATGAACATGGTAGGCGCTATGCTAAGCTTGAGGAAAGTTTTCAGGGTGTCGGGATACACGGCCAGTTGTGCCTGTACCGAAATTCTTTCGGGTGGCCCTCTACCGTTGCAGGATTCCTGCTGACATCCTCTCAAACGATCGGGTTTGCAAAGCTCAGCAAGGTGCAGGCAGTCAGCAAGCGTTCCCATCCGAGCAATCTGGCCGGCATGGTTTCGGCTTGCTCGCTGAATCATTCCATTTGAAGACATCAAGCCTAATTCTACCCTATGCCTATCAGGAAGAACCTCGACGCTGCCACCTAAGTGCACAGAGCTGAACCATTGAATTTCCTCCGCATTGCGACACGCTTCTGTAAAGCGGGCCGCAGCTGGCAATGGATCCCAGATGTCCGCAGCCTGTGACGATGTGGTGGAGGCCGGGCATAGTTTTGTGCTGTTTTGGGTAGTGGTCACATGCAATCTGCAGTCACTGCAGTCAGCTCATCACAGCACAGACACAGAACGAACACACACACACACAAACAAACACACACAAACAAACACACACAAACAAACACACACAAACAAACACACACAAACAAACACACACAAACAAACACACACAAACAAACACACACAAACAAACACACACAAACAAACACACACAAACAAACACACACAAACAAACACACACACAAACAAACACACACACACAAACAAACACACACACACAAACAAACACACACACACACACAAACAAACACACACACACACACACACAAACAAACACACACACACACACACAAACACACACACACACACACACACACACACACACACACACACACACACACACACACACACACACACACACACACACACACACACACACACACACACACACACACACACACACACAGACACAAAACACACACACACACACCACACAACACACACACACACAACACACACACACACACACACACACAAATCACACACACAAAACACACAC